GGCCACCTTGGAAACATTTTACCTGTAGTACAATCTCCACTCAAAAGCTGCTCTCCTCTCTCTCACACATTGACCATTTCTAAATGTCAACAGAAGTCAAGATGGTGAAACAGTGACGAGTGGGCACAAAGGTGTTATTCACAACTATGCACTAAAAGTGCCCTCTCCAAAAGCCCCAGGAGAAGCAAGGTGGGGTGTAAGCACACTGGAATATAGAGGGAGCACTGGTTATAAGGGTCAGATGATGGCCTTGATAACCTTCAGCAAATCTGTCCTGTGCATACTGATGGGCTCAGTATATAGGACTTTCCTCCTAATTCCTCCTTTCTCTCCCACACTGAAGATACTGTCAAACAAAACCCTCACCTGGGACTACCTTTGGCAGCATATCTTCTAATCAGCTGCAAATATTTCCTTCCTTCCATGCCTGTCTGAAACTCCTGATGGCAGAAGTCCTCTTCAGGAGCAAAGTAGCATTTCCTAGTACTCCCGAGGCCACATCTAGAAAAAGAGGCTTATGCATAAATCTCATCAGGCAAGAAACTCCTTACACAATACCTCTTCACACATCCTCAGCTTCTAACTCGGGGGATTATAACCCTAGCTGCACATTACAGATGCCTGGGAAGCTTTTCTGGAACAATGCACCCCATTTCAAGATTATAAGTCAGTTGATTTAGGGTGGGCCTGAGTTTTCTATTTTCTGTTTGTTTTTAAAGCTCTCAAGTGCATCCAGAATTTCAGAACACTGCCACAGATGAACTTAGTCTAAGTTTCCATTCCATGGTGAGAGGAGGGAGTCAGACTGCAGATGAGCAAATGAAAAGATAAAAGGGAAGGTGATGGAATCTCATCCTTGAATACAGAATCCTGAGCCCTTTGCCACTCCCATATGGAATACTCACTTCAGAATACGACTGTTGCTCTCTTAGCTTAGACTAGCTGTAATTAAAGAGTAAGAACTCTTGGTAGCACACCAGATATGGGAATGTCATTCTAAATGACATTCGATCATTTAGAATGTTGTATGCTACATCACAGAAACTTCTTTACCTGTGACCTGAAAAGAAATATCTCAAAAGACATAATAACGGGAATACTATGTCCCTCTGAACAACTGGCTTGTCTTGCTCTGGTTTATGTTATTGTGTACGGAAGCTAAATGCAATAGCCAGTACTTTTCTCACGGAGCTTAAACAATGAGGAGGACAACATTTCTCATTCGCATCCTTTGTACACTGAAAGGACTGGAAACTATTCATTTTGAAAGCATAAGAAAGACAAGTCATCTTTATTCAGCTACAATCACACTTCTTTGCAATAGTTTTTAGTGCTAGGGAGCATTTTAGGTTTCAAATGAATGACTTCATCTGCGACACTGTGAATGTTCTGTAGCAATTAGCTTAGGGTACAAAAGCCATATCCAGCTTTCTCTATTTGTGGTGTACAAGGCATGCCAGACTATTTTATCGGTATTTTCAATCTCCGTGAACTCTAGAAACTTACTTTCATAACGAGTAGAATATTTTCAACATAACATCCACCAAGCAGGTGGTTACGCATTAACTTTCCTAAGAAAATAATGACATGCAGGGGGCAAGTTGGAGGAACCCTATGGTATGAATAAATGCATCACAGAGAGTTCTTGTAATGTGTTTTCTAGGGATAAAGTTATGCATACGATGAACAGAGACCTAGCAAAACAGAAATAGAACAGATAGAAAATGAAAAAAGCTAATATTTGAGTACATTGCAAGGCTGTTTCTTGGTTTCTTGAAATTACCGACATATATTTGACAACAATAGTCTTAAAACACACACTCATCATTTATTTATTTGACAAAAAATATATATGTAGATAGTCTTTCACTGTGGTAAATGCTTACTATTCAAAGATGATTAACATGCAGACCCTGTACATAGGCGTGCACAGTCTAGAGAAGGAAATAAGCAGGAAAATCAATCATTAAAACACACATGATAAGGTGAGTTTTGCGTATGAAATTCATTATTGTGAAATTATCATTTAGAATGTTGTATACTACATCTCAGAAACCTCTTCATCCATGACCTGGAAAGAAATATCTCATGAGATGTAATAGGAATAGTATGTCCCTCTGAACAATTGGCTTGGGTTTAACTTAAATATTCCGAAGAATGTAACTGGTTTCTCTCTCTTGTTGAATTAACAGCTTGAAAGCTCAAGGCTAATTTGCAGCAGAACTCTAGTAAAATAAATAAATAAATAAATAAGACCCTATATTATCAGTTTTATCTGTTGATCACCCACCTAGATTCAACTAACTTCGCTCTAATTTCATTCATTTTTTGTGTCATTATTGTTGTTTTTCTTTAAAAGTGCCTCAAATCTTCTAATGGTGAGGCATGGTATAAGAAAATAAGGAATAAACTGCAGTGAGAGAGGTTTAAGGTTTCTTTGAGGGCCCAAGGGGAGGAGCCAAGTTCAGGCTGGGAATGTGGCTGGGAGAGGTTAGGAAAGAAGTTATGGGACAGATAGAAAAACATTGTGATAATAAGGACAATAACGGCAGCAGCACCTATAATAATAACAGGAATAGAACATAACTATACCTTAAAAAATAAAGAACGGCCATACCTTACAGTTGTGGGGTTCTTTCTGTGTATTTTGCTTTGCAAACATTATTTTTCTTATCCTCACAGCAACCCCATGAAGCAGATATTAGTTTCTCCATTTTACAGATGAAGATACTGCTTAGAGGGTTTAGAAATTTGCCTGAGATACAACCTCAAACCCAAGCTGTCTTGCTTCAAGAGCTGCACTACTGATCTGCTGAATTTCACATGAAACGATAAGAAGTTTGGTGTTGAAACGATAAGATAGGGTGTTGCCAATTAGAGTAGCTCCAAGTACGAGCATATCTGAAGCAAAAGATATACGTAGCGATGTAGCCAAAAGTGAAGCTAAAGAAAAGACATAGGTAAGGTCAGAGTCAGGAATAATACATTTTTAGATAACAGGAATATTTCAAAGGTTTTCAGTAAGGAGGTTACATGATAATGAAGAAAAGAGAAGAGAGGCTTTAAACTCCGGTCCTTCTGAAATGCAGTGGCACTGTCAGAACTGACGGGGTGAAGACGCTTTGAAAGCTCATATGCCATAGTTCACTGTACGCCACGGACATGGTGACTCCCCGCTGCACAGGAGCATTACAATAGCATTTTACTTCCAGTGGAAGATAATTTTACATAGACAAATTTATTTTGAGCCCCATACAGGTGAGTTTCATTAACCAAAAACATTGTTATAAGCACCCCCTTTCCTAAAACCACCAGAGGCAAATGAGAACAGAGTGCCAGAGCTTTTAAGGCCCCCTAAGAAAGCCTTTCCTATCGACTCAAAATGATGACAGTATCGGAGGTGATCGAGATGAGGACATTGATGATAACAGCTGCTACTAATTACTGAGCACGTCTTACTCACAGCCACATGCTAATATTCATTATTTCATTTAATCTTCACAACCATCCCAGGAGGAAGGCAATATCGTGCCCATATTACAGATTATGACACTAAGACTCAGGTTTAATAACTGCCAAGGTCACAAAGCTAATCAAGTGTAGAGCTGGAATTGGGACACAGGACTGACTGACCCCTGCCCTGCCTCTCATGAGAAAAGAAAGAGACACTGCTGTCATCGTGTTTCTGGCAACTGCTTTTTTGTCTCACCAGGAATTATCTGATTCATAATAATAGAAAATTGTTTGTTGAGATGTTGCTTCTTTTATCTCCTGTCCTTTCTGATGTGCACTTTCAGAAGACATAATGAGTGGTTTGTACGAGCGTGTGTGTACATACACATTAAATATGTGTGCACTTGCCAATGTGAAATTATATAAATTGAAAAGAGAAAGTATGTAGATAAGAGATATGTTTTAGAAATAGATGTGGTCAAGCCCCAGCCTTTCTACTGACTAGGCATGTGACAGAGCAAGTCATCGGCCTGTCTGTGTGTCCGTCTCATTGCCTTTGAAAGGGGGATAATCAGATTTCAAGACTGTGTTGTTATAAGGCGCAACTGAGGAAAATGATATATTGTACCTGGCACAGAGTTAAGTACTCAGTAATTGTCAGTCCCTCTTCTAACCCCTCCTCATGCTTTCAAACCATACTCCTATTTCAGTTTGAACAAAGAACCAAAATCAGTGTATATGCCACCCTCTCATGGGACATTTATGTCATAGAGAAAGAGCAACTTAGGCACCACGACCAGACAGAGTTGGTTCCTACTCTCCCCCTGGACAAGGAACTCTAAATTTCAAACAGCCTGGTATACAGGAATTTCTAGTTTTTTAATACTATATAGCCCTCTGTTTAGCTGGGCCACAGTTGCTTCAGGCCACCCTGTGTCTGTTACGTACGAGTTTGCTATCTCACCATGTAGAATACTCTACTTTTGGTTGATTTCAGTATCAGCCATCCTACATAGGTATTTTATAACTTCCATGAATATTTTGGGGAATCTTTCTCCCAGATCCCAGCCATTCAATCTATATCTGACTGTAAAAAACATGGAGTCTAGTTGCTATATTGTATCAGTGAATTTACCTCACATTTATCCTGTTGGATATGGAGACTTTGCAAAGCTTAGATGATACTCCTTTCTTCAACACCATTTAGTATGAATTTTGTTTGATGGCCATTTATCTTAATGCATCTAACTAATCTCAAACTAACACAGTAGACCCGAAAGCAAGTGCACATTCTAGTTTTTTTGGCTGAATTATGCACAATATAATACAAAACCATACAATAGAGCCACTGAGAACTCTGCACTTGTCATAGAAATGAGTATTGTACACAAGCCAGCCCCACCAGCAGCCTGAGCGCATGCTGGTGAGGTACTTGACTCTAAGCATATATGGTATCCCTTAATCACCCACTCTCTGTAGAGCCATACATATGTTCTCTTAAATGACTTGGTCCCACTGTTATCCTAATTTGAAATTTTCTTTTTTAGCCACGTAAATAGAAGAACACAGTTTGAAAACCCTGTCCTGGAAGCAAAAAGGAAGCTACAGCAGCATAACATGCCCCACACAGAACTTGGAACAAAGCCCCTGCAGGCCCCAGGTTTCCGAGGTATGTACGATGTCAGCATGCACTGTTTGCAAGGGAAAATGGTCTGTCAAACTGCCTGCGTTCCCAAACATGCCTGTAGCTTGGACCATTTCAAATAATTGACTTGATTCCCCAAATCCCTCTATTAACTTTAGCTTGGTATTTGCATTGTTTCTATACTAACATGCTTAGCAACCATAGATTAAGTTAAAGCCCCAGGCAGTACCTTATTGGAATTTAACAGCATGTTGCAAGGTGGATTAATGGGTTTTGACAGTGGAACTGTAAACCACAGAGATTCATAAAGACTCGTAAGTTTGTCCTCAAAAGTCCAAGCACAGGAATGAGGCTTGTTCTCCTTTGTGACAGTAGACAGCTCCTCATCGACATTACCTAGGCCCAAATCCATCCGCCCCCGCGCTGCCCCGGAGAGGTCGCGCAGCGTGAATGACTTGTCTTACTATCAGCGCGACCAAGTGGGGAGGCCCTGGCTGATCGGTATGTCCCAGGGCTGCTTGCGGCCCTGACTACACCTGGGAGCCACGTAGTGGGATGAGTTGCTGCACAAACTTTTCACGTCTCGTGGGCTTCTACTCATAAATAAAAGCACAAAAGATGCTTTGGTGTCAGGAGGCCTCGACTTGCCTGCTGATAACTGTCACACCATACCACTGTAGCACAACGAAATGAATGTAAAGGTCCCTGATGAACTTCTCTCCAGTTGTAAATTTGACTTTGATAAAGGAAACATAGGTGAAAAGATTATATGGGTTTTTACATTTACTTTTCAAAGAAGCTCTATTTTTATAAAGGCATATGTGATATGTAAGTAAAGTAAAACTCTGATATATAATGACTCATTATTTTATGGTTTGTTTATTACATATCACCCAAAATGTAACAACAAAAGTGTCAGACAAAAATACTTATCTGAGTTACCATGTACATTTTGGCTATTACAAATATTAAATCATGTCACCCAAAATGTAACAACTAAAAAAAAAAGTATCACATAAAATACTTACTTATCTGAGATGGAATTTAAAGCAAAAGACTGTTATAGAATGATGATTCTTTTTAAAGCACTTAATATGCTAAGGAATATATTTATTACAGATCATAGCTGGAAAAGCATATTATACAACAAATATGTGGGCAAAGCTATATGAGTAGATTCAAGATCTATTTAGATTATTTAGGCATATGATTTGAATGTGTCAACATATTATTACAAAATGTGTTACCTTTACATTCATAATTATGTCTAGAAATTTCGGCACGCCTTTCGCTCACATTTTAAAGTGTACTAATCACTATCAGGTCAGTAGAAATGTATCTGGTTGTCTTTATATCCCACTATATAAGAGTATAAGCAAAAGTGAACTCAGTCCCACATCCAGGTACTTTTTCTAAATAATTTGGACCTTTGAATATGTGGTCACATTCCACTGCTTCTCTATTTGTGATATCTATGCCTGATTAAGTGAGGTACTCTTATTCTCTTTAAAACAACCAAAAAAAGTTCATTTGGGTTTTCTACACCTGTCTTTTCAAGGTTTTGTGCAAGACTAGCCACTGGCACATACCTCCTACCTGGAATCTTTAATAACAAGAGGAATGTCTCCAGATGTGTCTGGATGATTTTGGCTTTCTGTCCTCTTTATCTGAACACTCTGTCAGCCTGTTCATAAGGCCCTTTTAAGCACAGGAGGCTAATTTACTAAGTGAAAACATAGATTTGACAAAAAGTCTCTCTCCAAACCAAACAGCTTTTTCATCTTTCCCTGGATGCTTGGGACTGCTCTGCATTTGTAGAAAGTTCTAATGTTCTGCACCTCTTGCAGTCACCACCTGCTTGCATTTACTATGTAAGATCTCCACATTTACCCCTGGGTTTTTCTCAATGGCTGGCTTTCTCTTGTTTGAGAACTTGCCTTAACATTAAACATTCTTTCTTTTTTTTAACTTATATCGGCCCATGTAGAAAAACCACTGTTCACCCGGGATGCATCCCAATTGAAAGGAACATTTCTCAGCACCACCCTAAAAAAGAGCAACATGGGTTTTGGATTTACCATCATTGGTGGGGATGAGCCTGATGAGTTTCTGCAGGTGAAAAGTGTGATTCCGGATGGGCCTGCAGCACAGGATGGAAAAATGGAAACAGGTAAGTTCCGTAATGCTTTAGAAAATTGTTTTGCAACATCTTTTTTCTAAAGGCAAATCGAAGGAGCTTCTTTTTTTGTTTTTAATTCAAAAGTCAAAGGTTGTTTCACTTTAGGAAAACCGCAAATTATGTTTCCCCTAAGTTTAAGATTATCAAGTTGAAGTAATTTGGAAACAACTTAGAATATCATTTCTGTCTCATTTTATAGACTACCCCTTCTGTTTGCCAGATTCAGTGGACTCTTGAGATTGACACTTTTCTAATTTATCTCTAGTGTTCCTTCTTGGAGATGTGATTAACATTTCACACTTTTCTAACATATTCAGCCACTGATATTTTTAAATCTGTGTTAATCTTGTAATATTTTTATGCTAAATAGCCCAGGTTAGATATTTAAATATTCATGCCCATCTCATAGAGAAAAATTTCAAATGGCATTAGTTTTTATATGTCCTCATACAATTTTTTAACATATGGGGTTTTTTCTAGTCCTTACAAATTAATTTTCTTATACAATTGCTTGGATATCTATCCAAATTACAATTGAAATTTATTTCATATGGAAAATACAGAGGCAAATTGTTACTGGCAGGAAAATATAAACTATGAAAAGAGTAAAGGAAAAAGTAATGAACTTAGGTCTTACTGCACAGTCTGAATTTAAATTCTTCTCCCTGGCTCATGACCTTGGATGAGTTCCGTAACTAATAAATATTAATTTCCTCATCTGGAAAAAAATGAAGAAATTAAGTTTGATCTTGTGTATTTGAAATGCTGATTCAAGAATTTCATAGTGTTATTATTTAAAATCCCTTAAGCTGGCTGGTTAGCTCAGTTGGTTAGAGCACAGCCTTGTAACACCAAGGTCAGGGGTTCAGTTCCTCGTACCATCCACTGCCACCAAAAAAAGTAAATAAATAAATAAAAATAAAATGGCTATGCAAACTTTCTAAAAAGTGAAACAAAAAAAATTTTTTTAATGAAATAAAAGAACTTAAAAAGAGTATAAGTACTGTATCTATATTGCCAAAGAAATATAATCACCATTTCCACATTCTTCACAACATATCAACTTTTTAAAGTCAGTGGGTCCTAGTAGATACACAAGTCAGACAATTACTTTAAAGGAAAAGTTCTGTCGTTTCTATGACATATTTGTGAATTCTTCTCGCATGGATTTTAAAGTGGTTTGTGTATGGAGAAACAACATAAAATTGAGGTCTTCATCTGACATTTTTAATTGTAAAAGTCACCAATGCTATATTACCACTTATTATACAGTTTCTTTATAAATAACTTTTCTCAAGATGCCCTTATGAGTGTATTTGTCACTACCACTCATTAGTGATTAATAATGCATACAATAGTTGTTACATCTCCTTAAAAGTTGAGATGAGGTTTCAAAAAGAACTTGCCACATTACCCAAACACTACTTTTGTAAAATACATGTGTATATAATTTTCTACAAGCATGAGTTAGAGAGTGTTCAACTCTACTGTTCATCCAGTGGTATTTTACCAAGCATCCACACCTTCAGGCTGCCAAAAAATCACAAGCATCAAATAACAATTAAAAATTATCCTATTGCCCAGGATGAAAGGAAATTATGGAATTAATACTGTTTTCACAGAGGGAAAAGGGTCCCCAAAGCTTTTGAACTTGAGTGAAATATTTAACACGTCCATTTATTTTTCATAATAATGAGCCTAGGGATATTTCTCTGATGCAATCCGTGTTTCAAAACTTGAAACTTTTTTTAGTGTAAACTTAAAAGACAAAATAAAATAAAAATATCTCCACAGCAAATCTTTTTCCTTTCTTGCTCATTTTACTAGTTTGCCACACCCACACAGTCTAAGTTAGCATTATTCAACAACAAAGTTAAAGCTTTATTTATAATTTAGCACATTTTCTTCATTTAAGATAATCACTAAAGCAGGTTCTAATGGAGAGAGAAGAACCAAAGATTTAGTTCTACTCACTGTCTCCAATTTAGTCCTGTATTTCGGCATTTGTTTATTAAATACCTGTTGAGTGCCTTCCTTTTCATAGTCATTGCAGTGCCCAGGGCTACAAAGGTGGAAATAACAGGGGCCTTGCTTTCAAGGAGTTTACATCTGGGAGGGGCTCCAGACACATAAAACAGTAATCATATCACAATATAATGAGTCTATAATAACCATGATGTTGGCACAAAGTCAGGAAAGTAGGGGGCAGTGAGCAACAGAAATTTTGAGAAAGAAAATTGTGTTGCTAACTATATAATTTTATTAGGCTTTTAGAGGTATGATAATTTCTCTCATTGGAAAAGAGTTTAATAAAACAAAATATAATGCTTATTAAATATTCATAAAAATTTTAATGTTTACTTCTAATTGTGAGATAATTTAAAATCAAATGTAAACACATTTCTGTGACATTCCACAGTTATAATAGAGGAAATGGCTGTTCAGTTCAGTTCAGCAACTATTTAGCAACTGCAGGTATGTGCCTGACATTCTGCTAATTACTAAGGATGCAGAAATGAAGAGACAAATGTTTCTATCCTCAAGAAGTTTACAATACAGAAATAATGAGTGACATGTTAATGAATATTTATATCAATGTAATAGTAAAATAAGTACTTAAATACAGAAATAGTACAGAGGAAAGGAGGATCAGTTCTGTTGGAAGTGCTTAGGGAAGGGCTCAGAGAAGATGATGTATGACACGGTTTTGAACGATGAATAGGCATTCGCTAGGTGGACAAGTGAGGAAGGTTGTGGGAAGAGGAAATAACATATCCGAAGGCATGGAAGTGAGAGACAGTTAGAAAAAGGTTTATATGCCATCACAGTGTACATTAATATTTCACTTCCAGTATGTGTTTATGCTGAAGCATTGAGTAAAATGATAGTCATAAGAGGTAAAGATTAACTATTTAGACTTGTAGCAAACATCAAAAAACAGTATATAGTAATATATGCTCAAATTAAAAAATAATAATTATATGCACATTAACCTATATTTAAAACCATTCTTATATAAATTTTCAACCAATTTTCAACCAATTAGGGATAGGGGTTTACTCTATAACTGATGTTTTGTTTACTTAAGTGTTCCTAGAACCTAAAACAGTGCTGGGCAAATAGTAGATGTTCCATAAGTACTTGTTGGATGAATGGATGGAAGGAGGGATGGAGGGATGGAGGGATGGAGGGATCGATTTTTCACATAAATGAAAAAGTGAAATTTAAATGAGACAAATTCTTAATTCCTCTTCTACAGTATAGCCTAGTGAATGCTAATTGAACAAGGTAGCTCACCATTGAAGAAAAGGCAAAACAGCTCTCTAGTTTCTGGATGAAATTTAAAAGACAAGTACAAAATTAATTTGCAATGATATCATGTACAAAATGAGCCTCAAGAATTAAAAATAATAGACACTACAGATATAAAAGACAAGTAATTAGGATTTAGAAGATCTGTCTCATTGGACATTGAAATAATCATGGAAATATTTTAATCAACTTTCCTAGCTCTAGATGATCTCTAATTTAGGCTAAGAGATGTCAGTAGCTTGTGTGACGCAAAGAAAAATCTACTGTATCAAAAAGCGACTTAGGGTTCCTGCACAAGAGAAACAAGGGTAGGGTGGGAATTCTTTCTTAACACCAACTCCTGAGAAGGGATGGAGAACAGAAAATGAGGGCAGTCTGCCTCCTGCTGCTTTTTGACAACTAATTCAGCCAGTCCCCAATGGTCCTACAATGCCCCAGAAGATTTCTCAGAAGAAATTACCACAGTGCCCAGAAACCATCTGACTTCTGATTATTAAGTATTCTACACATCCCAGCAATCACTTATAGGCACCAGAAACCCTGATCACATTCTCTAAAGTATTTTAAAAATCCATGTAATATGGCTTACACAGAAACCACAGTCTGAAAGACAGTTCTGTATCTAACATCCTTCAGTTAAAAAGCTTCTCTTGTCACATGAGGTTTCTGGTTTTTCTCCAGGCTAATTTTTGAATCAAGGCTTGTGGTTTTGAACAAATGCAAGAGGGAAGAGAACTGACCCATCCGTGAAGTTCTCCCGTAGACAGCGGTTGAATTATGGGGTCACTCTCAACCTGTTAGTTTTTATTTTCCCTCTTTTAATATTTATCCATTGTATCAGTAAAATCACAAGAAAGCCTCCCGAGAGATGAACATGCCAGCATTCTTTAGCTCACGGCACACCTTTATTGGAGCAGATCAATATCTGCTCTTTTACTGGTTGCTACCTCTATATCTGTGTTTCTTAAGTAGCGGCGCAGATTAACTTTGTCAGAATCACTTGGAGCACTTTTTAAAAATGCAGACTTCTGTCCCCCCGGACCTATTGATTCCAGATTTCTGGAAGTAAAAAAACTGTCAAAGCAATACATGTACCTGGTAAAAAATAAAATAGCATCTAAATATTTATAGTGCACAAAATATCCCCTGCCCTGCCCCTTCCCACACTCCAGACTCTAACTGAGCCATCCCAAAGGCAATTGATTAGTTTGTATTCTTTCAGATGTTCTTTCAGAAGTGACACTCACACTTCTAACTAATGTAGTTATATAGTTGTCTTGATTTAACAGTTTAGACATGACCTATATTTACTTCATTTTAGAAACGAATCTTCAGCTCTCTTGTACCCCATCTGCCCTCCATATCTTCCCAACAGAGCTTTACAACTAATTTTAGTAAAATTTGTACAGTTTTGCATTGTCATGGCTTTCTACATGTGCTCACAGAGCCTAGTAATGTATAATAAATACATTGTTTCCCTTCACCAGCTTTGTGGCATGTCACATTGTCTCTCTATTTTTATTGCAATATCTTTCTTAAAATAACCCTATTTTCCCCCCCAAAATGTCATTGTATTAGGTTATCCAGAGGGTTTCCTTTGCTTCCTGGCATTTTTTATCCTCCTGCTCCTATCCGTGTTGGTTGTACAGCTGACATGTGGGGGATCTCCCAATCACAGT